TAAATTTATGAAAATTTTATAATAGTTATTTTACTTTAACTAAATATGGCAATGGTAATTTTGTAACCGGTTAAAAACAAGCTATAACTGGTCAACCGTTTTAACCACGGTTAACCGGTTAAAACGGTTAAACAGTGCCAACGTCAATATTGTATCAGTACATTCAATAAAAAGATGAAGGAATTTGCTGAATTTAAAGTGCTATTATCTCCATCCAAAATATAGAGGTAATAAAGGTTTTAGTATTATAAATATTTTTATTATTTGAATTTTAATATTTTAACCTAAAATTGTTAAATAATAAACTGCCCTGTTAATAATTACTGGGTGAAACTATTAAATTCATTACCAGTATAACTCGAAAGATGGAATTTACCAATAAATGAATTAATGAACTTTATACTCAGTTCAGGCAATATATATTGACGCTGATGTTGAGACGTTGGCGGCGAGAGGTTCATGTTGTAATTCTCGCGACGAAATACCATCATGATGGCCTTTAAAAGATACCGAATAAAGAACCTTTAGATACACCACTCGCTCGGTTGATATGATTTGATGAAGTTGATTATCTTCAAAATATTGCAATTAAAATCTTTTCTCTTTATTCTCATAATGTCAGTTGCAAAAGATTTTTTTCCCATATTTAGCCAACAGCAAAGTGGGTTAAATACTCAGTTGGTAGAAAACGTGGGTAAATCCACTCGTACTTTGTTTAAAATGCTAAAAAATTTTTGTCATGTTGGAACAGATTTATCAGAAGAAAAGTGAATAATATGAAGAATTTGATTTAACAATTTTAGAACTTGCCAATTCAATTCTATAGTAGTAGATTAGAGATTGGGCACCGTTAACCGTTTAACCGGTTAAAATTTTGTTTTAACCGGTTTTGATAGGTTTTTTGCAGACGTTACATGAAAATCGGGTAAAGACTTTTAATGGTGGTGACTATTTTGGGTATAACAGGAAATTTTTATATCCAAAATCAGATAAAGCAATTTTTATGTCATATTAATATGAAATTACGGGTAAATATGCACCGTGTTATTTAATTTTTTTTTCCTTAATATGAAACTTGTAAATTTTAAAATTTCCCATCGATCTTTTTTTTTTTTGGATAAGAAAAAATTAATTAATTGTTAGTAATTAGTATATATATTGATAGTGCAGGACATCTATAACTGTCAAGGATTATCACATGACTTTAAAAGTTTATAACTCCTTATAAAAAGAAAAAAATAAACCGATAGAATTAAAGCTAGAGACCCAAGCTTCATTTCCGTCGATTTACTTTTTCATTTTATTAGAAAGCTTTGAGTTATAAGGTTTCAAAGTTAGAACATTTATATGTGTCTATATAATAATAATAATAATAAATTGTAAAATTTCGGAATCATCTTTTGTGTTGGTGACCCGGCTTAAAAAATCCCGTGATACAGAAAATCCTTCCAATAAAAGAAATATGATTTATTTAAATTTTTTTTTAAATTTCGGGACTGACGCATTTTATAGTATTAATAGAATAATTAAGAAAAAAGTCATTATTAACTATTATGTAAATTTAATTAAAATAAATAAATATATTCATACTCCATTTAATATGATTTAGACAATTAATAAATCAACTGCAATTAAGTACTAAAAGAAATGATTTTAGTAATTTTTTTACTTTAACTAAATATGGCAATGTTCGAACCTTAAGATTTCGCTGATCCAAAACTGTCCTCCATATTACCAACCTCTAAGATATCCATTTGATATAAAATATTTTTTGAAAATCTTTCTTTTCGAAATATGCGCGAATCAGGTTATAAATAGTAAAAATATGGCTAATGTATGATATAATCAAAAAAGAAAAAAGGTTTCTTTTCTTTCACAATGAAGATTTTTCATTACTAAAGTCTTCACCCATCAGCAAGAAAACCTTTTTCGGGATGCCTGACAATAATATCTAAATCTTGAATTATGTTACCAGAAACAAGTTTATTGATAAGCTCTTTACGTAGCTTGCTCAGTTCATCTTGAGATAAAGTTTGAGCAAGTAGTTGCCTTCGACCCTGTAATAAATCATTTATTTGATCTTTAACAGTTCTAAACATGGAGTATCTTCTTTCTTCCAAATAAGTAGGTAAAAGACTACACCATTCTCTGACTGCGCTTGAAATTTCATCTATCAAAGGTTCATTCTTTCCACTTATTGTATCATCACCACATTCAAGTGAAGGTAGTGGTGGAGGAGGCCTGTCATTATCATCATTGTCATTAATAGAAGCAGGTTTTTCATTTTCATTACGAGTAGTAGAATCAAGTGAAGCAGCATCATTAAAAGATTTTGTTGATTCGTTAACTTGTAATTTGACATCATCAAGATATTCTTTTATATATACATGATTTTTTGGGAAAATTCCAACAAACACCTGAGGTTCTCCAGTCTGACATGATTTAGAGACAACATAACCACGATACCAAGCACCTTGTTCTTCAAAAACATAAACTTCATCGCCAACTTCAAGTGCAACTTGATATGATATTACATGTGAATTTCTTATATATGATTTTGAAGATATTGATGCTGAATCCGAAGAAATGACATTATTATTTGCATTAATAATAATTTTGTCACTAGTACTACTAATACCATCATTATCTTTTTTTATATTATTTTCATGATTCCCTGATTCATCTAAAACCTTTTCATTGTCAGGTTGAGAATCATGATCTACTAATTTATGATTTGAATTTGAATCAGAATCAATTTTATTATCTTTTTTAGAAATTAAATCATTTTTTTCATTAGATTTTAAATCAACAACACCATCGACCTTTTTATTAACATCTGATTCATTTTTATTTTTGTTATTATTATTATCACTATTGTTATTATTATTATTAACTATCGGTACTGATTCATTTATGCTTTGAGCATCTTTTATAGAATCTGACGAAGAATTGTTTT